TCACTGGCATCTGGTGCTGGAAAGTATCCAAAAGATCAGCTTTGTATCATCACAGATAGGTTTGTTTAACTTGTTCTTAATAGCAAAGGCAACGGCATTACCTTCCAAGGCAGCTCATTCCAGAGCTTCATTACCTTTTCAATTCAAACTTTTGGGGTGTTTTTCTACCCATCCCAAATTATTAGTGATTCAAGTTTCAAGTGGTTTAAACTGTCCCTCTCTATTGGTGGAGTGTTGCCATCAGAACCTGAAGAACTGTTGGTGATAAAATGCTTCCTTCTTAAGTAGCTTTTCAGTACTTCTGAAGGAATTGTAAGAATGATAAATAACCCTCCTTACAAGTACTTGTTCATCAATACTGTTATGTAATGAATGTATTGGTTGGGATTTTTTCTCAACTAAACTCAAGCCTTTAGCTAGGGCTGCCAGCGGAAATGGAAACACCAAAGTTGACTTCAGTTAAGTTGTGTGACATACGCACACGTGGCCAAGAAGCAAGGCTAATTATTAACTCATTATGCTTTTTGTGCTGGATTTGGGTTTTTGCATACTATCACGTAGTCTGTGGCCTTTCTGGCTGTGAGCTCCACTAATTCACAGAGTTCTGCAGTGTGCTTCCCTCTCTGGCTTATGCTTGTAATTATTGTAGCACACATTTGATCACCTCCTACAGTGTGTAAATGAGTGGTGTGAATTGTCTTTGTTTCATCAGCTGATACTCAGCCCCTCTCTTTAGGGCAAGACAGCTAGCTGGACAGGAAAAATAAACTCCTTTTATTCTCTCCTAGAAACACCTTTGGTATCAGTGGATGTTTGTGCAAAAAAGTAGAACAATAACATGAGCTTAACTGTCAGTTACTCTTGATGCACTAAATATTAGGGATCAGTAATGCTATTTTTTCTTGTTCTTAAGCTGTGCTATGTTATGCCATCATCCAGTGCAAGATGTGCTCAGTTTCCTCGTGCGCAAGATAAAGTTCATTATTACATAAAGCTAAAAGACTTACGGGATCAGCTGAAAGGCATTGCACCAAACACAGAGGTGCAGGAAGTGCAGTACACGTTTGACTTACAACTTGCACAAGGTATAGTGGTTATTGGAATTATCTTATAAAATGTATGGTTTTTTTCACATGTTCTCTAGTAAAAATGTTCTTTGAACACTTTCTGTTCTTAATACTTGAGGTCTATTCTCTCTGCAGAGGATGCTAAAAAGATGGCTGTCAAGGAAGAAAAGTATGATCCAGGTTATGAAGCAGCATATGGAGGAGCTTACTGCGATCGTGCACCATATGAAAGCGAACAGTGCAATTTCTCTTCAAATGGAACTGGTAAAGGGTGGTGCTCGGGGCATTCATTCTCTAAACCATTCTGTATAACTTCTTATAACCATTCCGATTTTCTACCCTTTAAGCGACTTCCACAATTCGTACAATATATTTAAAGCATAGCAGCAGTTAAACTCTTACATATCTGAGGGAATGTGTTGTCTCTGTAGGAGGAACGGGTGGGGAAAAAAAAAAAAACAAAAACATTTACTCTTATTTAAAATCAATCGTCTGCAAACAGTTCAAACTGTTTTCCCAAACTCTGATTCATAGGATGTGACAAATAGATATAACTAGTGGCTTACACAGTAAACTTCTTCAGTTGCAGTCACTTTTGTATGAACGTGTCATGCTTTTTGACACTTCATGAGTTTCATTCCTAAGGAAAGCAACGTAATAGAATGGTAAATGAAACTGTTCTATTATTGGTGAGGCAAGTGAAGGAGGAGTATTTGAACACTGTAACCCGAGTAATTCAGTTGTGTTAGAGTAGCTAACAGAATAACTGTTAGAACAGTTTGAAGACTAGAAGAATGAGTCTAGTAACCTTGCTGTAACTATAGAATCATAGAACGGCCTGGGCTGTAAAGGACCTCAATGATCACCTAGTTTCAACCCCCCTGCTATGTACAGGATCACCAGCCACCAGACCAGGCTGCCCAGAGCCACATCCAGCCTGGCTTTGAATGCCTCCAGGGATGGGGCATCCACAACCACAGCCTCCTTGGGCAACCTGTAACTATGACGTTAGGAATTCTGTTCCCCAAAATACTACCAATTAATTTAAAATAATAACAATAATGGCAGAAGTAAGCTTCTTCAGTATCTTGAAGTTTTTATTCCTAATCTCAATTAGAATGCAAAATTTAATTTGTGTTATATTTACTCTATTTTGTCAAAGGGAATGTCCCTTTGAGAAGAAGAATTTTACTCAGAAAACACTGCAAAGTAAAGTATTCGTTTAAATGTTCAGACTCTTAACTTGCATTTGTGGCATCCTTAACTTCAAAGAAGTTCTGATGAAAACCTAACGGGGGGAATGATCTGGGTCTCCAAAGGCAGGCATTGAAAAAGAATAAGTTTGAACTGCAGTCTGAGTAGGTATTGAAAAGTACAAGGGAAGATGCAAACTGCAAATATCTTTTTTTAGATGGTTTTGTGTGGTTTTGTCTTAGCTGATGGTCTCAGCTGCATTTTCAACTGTACTTAATTTTTGTTTGTTTGTCAGCACCAAGCAATCCACAGTACTGTGAGGGGTCATCTTTCGGTGAAGTTCCTAATGGACAGTGGATGACGCAGTCCTTTGCAGACCAGATTCCAGAATTCAGTGCTGGTATGACACAGGAACGGGAGGAAAGCAGTGCATAAGAATTCTTTCTTCTCAGCTATGCATACATGCTGCAGTTTTAATGCAGTGATCAAGATTGGTACCTCGGTTCTCCAACTGAAGCATTTTAATAATATTTTATCTCCCTTAGATATTTTATTATAGTCCTAAGTAAGTGTGTGGTAGGCTCAAATCAATGAACTAGGTAATTTTAAGGAACTGTCCAAACTTTAAAAAAAAAAAAAAATCCCTTTTTTTTGTATATGAGTTTCATATTTAATGTATGCCATTTCTTGCAGTTTTTGACAAACTGCTTTCTCATTTGTGAAGATTCTTTTGGGGCGTTAATTTTATTCCATAAATTGTAAAGTAGGAGTAAAAGCAGCAGTATACTTTTTATTGATGCATCAATATTTGGATATCTCACAGTCTTTTTATATCTAGAGGGGGAAATGGAAGTGCACCCTTATCTTACATGAAGTGGTGCTTTTAATCATGCACAGTTAAACAAGTGGTGCTTTTTAAGACTTCCTTTGCACTTCAGGGCAGGAATAGAGAGCTCTGTCTATTTGGTGACTGGACCATAGTCAAGTTTAAGGGAGCAGAGACAGCACTGGTCAGGAAAATTCACGTCACCCAGGACAGGGCCTAAAGTATTCTAGTCTTAGAATAAGGTGTTCTTATCATTCCGTTTCTTTCTCCCTTAAATTCCAGTGTAAAGGAACTGGAATTCCTTAAAAAAGAAAAATGGTTCTCAAATCTGTGGCATTTGTCAGTCACTTCTCTGTGATTAGTCTCTTCTTCTGAAGCTTAGCAAGTGAACAGTTCATATGGCAGGGAATTGAAAGACTGTATTCCCTGTAAAAACCCATCTGCAGATATGTTATTTGTGTCAGGTACAGTTAGCACAGGGTGAAACAAGATCATGCTTTAGCAGTTTTTTTTTATATTACTTTCTCCTTAAGACCTTAGGGGGTGTTTTTCTTAAACATCTTATGTGTAAAAAAGATTACTAAGTTGAAGACAAGGGCAGGTATTCCATTAAGTTGGCAGCTGTTGGAACTACAGTTTTCTTCTGAGGAACTTGTTCAAACAATACACAATTTTGGCCAATATTGGCGACTGAGAAAGAAAGGAGATTCTGTGCTTGTGCCTGATCATCATCTTTCCCTCTTCTATCACGTGAGGAAGAAATGAAGTAAAAGCAATAAGCTGGTCAAAACGTTCACGTTTTGATGATCTTATGAGAGAAGGTGCTTCACATACTTGAAAAATAGATACAAGCAGTATCTCCGTCCTCGGTGCTGCTCGCAGGTTCCTGTTCTGGTGCTTTATCCTTTCCTCACAGCCGCTGACAGTCATCATGCATTGAGTGCAATTAGTTGGCGTAGATGCTAATCCTGCTGTAACAGCTCGCACCGAGCTCACACACTGCCATCCTGTTGTGAGGCAGGCATGATGTTTACAGTTCTCTTCCCAAATTATGTGGCTTAACTGAGTGTCTGAAATCAAGAAAGCGTGCATTATGATTGTATTTATCAGCTTCAGCATAAAGCTGCTCCGTATGATGTCAGAACGGCATAGGATTTGTCTTGTCTGTTATTTAAAGTGTACTGTATCACGTATTGCTGTTTACATGGATGTTTTCCCACAGGTGCTCAAAGTACCTCGTGTCAGGGATTTGTTACAATTCAATTTTATTTTTCAGCAAAGTTAGAAGCATGTAACTCTCACTGCTGGTGAGATAGCACAGTAGTACAGAACTACTGTACTGCTCTCCTCTTTGAGTTGAAGGGAAAGGTCTCTTTTGGAACAGAGGCACCTACTGGGTGTAAAATGCAGTTACATGTATAATGACCTTTTCACTCAGTACTGCAGTTTGTGTACTCCCTTGGGACCGGTGCTCTTTTCATTACAGTAATCCAGAGGTTCTTAATCTGTCTTAAATCTCTCCCTGTTTCACAATAAAATCAGGAATTGTATCACAGTGTCTTTGAGTGTCCTTTTACATCCTGCTAGTGGTGGCCTAAATACTCTACAGAGCTACAGACTACGTCTGTACACTGACTGCACGAACACAGTGTTCTGCAGAGAAAAACTCTGCAAAATGATCATCATGCAGCTGAATTCTACTTATTAAAATGCTGCCTGAGTTTTAATTTTGAGCTGCTCCATGTCAGCTGATAGACTAAAGACACCTTGTATCTAATATCAGAAGTTATTTCCTCTGTAGATTTTCTCCTCCTGGCAGATACTTGACTTCACATTGAAACACATTATCTGACTTCACCTCAGTAAATATTTAATGAAAATACCTCATTGTAAAATAAACTTGTTTCCTCACTTTATTTGAAAATTAAAAAAAAAAAAAAAAACAATTGAACTGTGTAACTAACATACCACCCATAAGCCCTCAAAACTGATAGTCATTTCATGGCAATATTTAAGCAACGTTTTTCTAAAATCAGTTAGTTATACAATTTGATGTGTTGCATCAGCAACTATTTGCATACTGCAAACCAAAAGGTCTGAATATGTTGAAGTGTTTTCATTATCAGCTGTCAGGACGCGTTAATTTGAACTTCCCTGAAGGGTCAGGGATAAACCAGTTTTCCCAGAGATCAGTGTGAACGCTGGGATAGTCCCAGGGTTTGTATCTCCCATTCCAGTGAAGTAATTTAGCTTCTTGAAGAAAATGCTCTGAATACCGGGTATCAGGACTCCAACCTGCATGAGTACATGGAATAAAATCCAGCTTTTAGTACTGGAAGACACTACACAATGAGGTAAATACAGTTTGTTTTTAAAAAGCCTGATTAGCATGGTTTCACCCGTCAGTAGGCAACTAACTGTGAAATAGAGCAGCATTTTTCAATTTCAGGCCTCTTTGACTCCACATCTGAAAAATCTCAGCTTCCTCTCAACAGCAACATCGTGGTCGCTGGGATTTACAAACAGCTTCATCATGCTGTTCATTTTACTTTGCTAGCTGAGCTATTATCTTCTCAGGATAAGTCACCATTGCCAGGTGAATGTCAACTGCATCCTCCAGAATGTGGGCTGCACAAAGACTGCCAGGCATCCCATGTGCTTCTGCTGTGCCTGCCAGAAGTGTCTGATTTTATTCTTTTCAGTCTGTGACTATATTCAGATCTTTCATACATTCTTTTCCGTGGCTCAAGATAATTTGGATCAATTATTCTGCAGTCCTGTAACTAATGTAAGGTCCTATACTGGAATCTTAACCTCTCACTTTATTGGGTTCCAGCTGCAAATGGAAAGTTAAAACTTACCGAGATGCCGTATGTGCCACATAGGATTAATAGTGGAATGCTTTCCATGAAATACAATCAGCATTGGAGAGGTTGCCACACCTCCCCCAAGGGTGCTGCTGTAGAGGTTTTCCCTGCAAAAGAACAAAGAAAATGTCTGAACCTCAATCAAAGAGTCTTTAGTGCAAAGATCAGACAGCTAAACACGTAAGTACTCTGAACCGCCTGATTTTCAGCATATTCCTTTCTAATGCTTTTAATTGTTCCATTGTTTGTGTTTGGAGCTCCAATTCCTGCTGAGTAGGTTGTTGCTACAAAGCAGTGTGCTGGGAGTCAGACCCAGCATGAAGCTGAGCACTCTGCACACTGCCTGCAATCTACGAGGCTGAAAAAGTTTGTAGTAGGAAAAAGAAGCTGTCAACATAAAGGAATCAAACCTATTTTAGACTGGTTTCTTAGGAAGATGTACACACTGCCATGCATCTGTCCTTTCTGCTTTCCACCTGGCCAACTTTGAGGCCTGAAGTTAACTTCAGAACAGATTTGGCAGACTGGTTAGTATAAACCAGCAGCTAATGGATATTAATTTCCTGTGAGTTCTGTGAAAAATGCAGGGTTTGTGTTTTTTTTTTTTTTAAAAAAAGCCAAATTACTGTGAAGGGAGGCTTAAGTGGTAGCAGGCAGATGTCTGGCCACAGTGCGCTGCAGGCCTGGCCACGCAGCAGAAGGGAGCAGCCACAGTGCCTGCAGGACATTGTGCTGTCTGCTGAGTCCAGCAAGGAGGAAGCCTGAGAAGTATCAAGAGGTGCTCAGAGGCTACAGAACTACAAATAAATAAAAATCATAACTTTCAAAAGCTCTTTCTGACTAATAACAAAGCTATTCAGTTCACTGTGGTTTCAATATTGAGCTAAAAGGAACACAAATGTGTTGTTATGGTACAAAATCATCTTTCTAGAATGAATCTGATGTGATGCTCATGGAGGTTTTTTTCAGGCTCATAAAAAGCATAGCAGTGGCCTTTCAGAACATTCTGTAAACAGAGTAAGAGAAAGCCATGGAGATTTTCATTCATTCACATGCTCATTGTTTGTGTCTTTCCTCCTTTGTTCAGTCTTGAAAATAACCAATAATAAATGGAGTCCAAAAGCACAAATAATTGTTTCAATTTAGCTTTCCTAAATTTAAGCCTTTGCAGGGAAAGGAAGTGTCAAATCTGCAAACAGATTAACAATGAAAAAAAATGAACACTGTTCTCACTATATTCATATTCAAAGTCATATTCATAGTCAAAGCTAAAAAATTATCTTTCACATCAGGTTCATTTCATCTACAGAGAAGTGTTTTTTACTGGTATTTTAAGAAATGTGACGCCCAATGACAGTTCAGTTAGAGAGACCCCACACAAACAAGGAAACATTCCTTTCTCTCTAAACCAGCCTCAAGAAGGAAAGGTAAGTGTATTGAGCCAAGGTGAGGTTGGTCATCCAAAACAAGAACCACGTGTTCTCAGTGCCTCTCAGGACTGAGTGTGGTTTGGGATTAAATGCAAGACTGAAATTCCAGGTGGTATTTCCTGTTACACTATTGATCAGGTTTAAGCATGTGGAAATTTACTTTGGGATTTCATGAAGCAATGAAAAGACTGTTGATAGAGTTACAATCTTTAAAGAGCTTACAAACAGAAGATGATTTACAGTTAAGTGCAAAGTTAGATTTCTATACATACTCTACATTTCTTTGCATCCACTTTTCCAACTGCTTTGTGAGCCGCTGATTTTTCCATTCAGTCATGTTAGCAACAATTACACCGGGATTAAAGGAGCAGGTGCTGGGGCTGATGCCAAGGTCTCTAATTGCTTGCTTTCTATAGTCCAGAAATCCCATGTATGTGTTCTAGGAAGTTAAAAAAAAAAAAAAGAAATACATTTATTATATCCTGTGAATCTCAATGAATATAAGAGTAAGTGTAGCTCTGTGTTACTAAATATACACTCCCAAAGCTGAGTTTCTAGATGATGATTACCTATCTCAATTTCCATATGACATGGGGTTGAAAGGCACAGTGCTCCCAGCTACTGAATTTCTTCTTCCACAGTTTTGTACCATGGAAGTTCTATAAAGCTCTCTCCTCGCCACATTTTGGTCTTTCTGTACAGAACTGTAGTTCTTGATTAACTGTAAAACTAGTAAAAAATCATTTTAAAAAATTGGAAGAAAACTTTCATGGAATCATAGAATAGTTTGGGTTGGAAGGGACCCTTAAGATGATGTAGGTCAAACCCCCAGCTATAGGCAGGGACGCCTCCCTCTGGACCAGGCTGCTCAAAGCCTCGTGCAGGCTGGCCTTGAATGCCTCAAGGCTGGGGGCATCCAGAACCTCGCTGGGCAGCCCACTTCAGTGTCTCACCACCTCACAGTAAAAGTAAAGAATTTCTTCCTGTTATCTAGACTAGATCTGCCCTCTTGCAGTTTAAAGCCATTTTTTCCTCATCCTGTCACTACATATATACTCTGGGGAAGATATAGATCCATATAGCATTTATGAGTCAATATATTCACGATTAGAATTTACGGAACAGCATCTTACCTGCATCCCTACACTTCTAACCATCTCATGCGTGGAAGGGAGATCACAATCATCTGAAAAAGCCGCAGCATGGCCAGGAGCCAGCTTTGTATCATAGAGTTCCTGAATGTCACCTGTTCAAAGTTCAGAAGCATAAGAACAAACGTATCACACAGCTACACAGGGTTGGCAGTAGCAGAGGTGAGCTGAGTGGGGTCACATCCCCCACGGTGGCAATGGGGTGAGCGCTGGGACGTGGGCAGCTGCCAGGGCCAGGACTGAAACCTGAGGTCCCTCTGCCCCGGTACCCAGCCCTTCCACTCCTGGCCACCCACCTGGGAGTGCCTGGCAGCCCCATAAAAGGGGCACTAACAGTGACCAGGACCTACACCCACCCTGCAAGAGGCCACCCCCTCCACCACAGTAGCAGAACTTACACTTCTCTGTAATTAAAAATAAATACACAAACACTACACAGAATCACAGAGTTGTTGGGTCCTCTGGAAATCATCTAGTCCAACCCCTGCTAAAGCAGGCTCCCTATAGTACGTTCCAGAGGAAGGTGTCTGCATGGTGTGTGAACATTTTCAGAAGAAACTCCACAGCCTCTCTGGATTTTGCACCAAAAGTTCAGCATGTTTCATTCTTACTGCTCCACAGAAAGCAGCTGACCAATAAACAAACCCCAAGTTAAACTCTGAAATCCTCATTCACTCCTTACCATGTCAGAGTTCCTATTCCCTCCCATTTCAGACGCATCAAACAGGGAGCTCTCATATTACAGATAAGCAGCTGCCAAAACAGGCTCCCACCCTCTGCTTCTCCTCCCACATGCCCAACCTTATTTTCCTCTTCTGAGCCCTATGATTACACTGCCCAAGGATGAGCAAGCTAAGTTGACTGAAGAAACAAGGAGAAAAGAGGGTTTTGTGTTTTGTTGTTGTTACATTTTTGATTGCTTGGTTTCTGTTTTTGTTTTTTTAACATAGCTCGTCTTCTGCCAGGTCAAGCAGCTGAGTCAGCTCGTTTCACAGCTGTAGATGTGAAAGAAGAGAAGTAACAGGAGCTGCCTGAGGATAGGAGAGACCACTTCAGTAGGCAGCAGCCTACCGTAAGCTGTAATGAAAAACTGCACCTTATCTGTGTTTTCAGAAGCAGTATCAGCTGACACAATCTGGTATACCCTAATGGAAGAGAAAGCCCTACCTCCCCTCTGCTGTGGGCCACCTCCTTGCTGTCTGTGGGAGTACTGCCTTGACTCCTACCAGGAAGTTAATTCAGGCTGACAGTAGTCTTCTTCCTGGTGATTGTCAAGTGTGGGTGCAGGAAAGAGGGATGCAGGTCAGAAATTCTCAAAAAAAAAAAAAAAAAAAAAAAAAAAGAGCAACTTTTCCTCTAATTTGATTTGTTTGTACAAAAAAAAATTTATATGTATATGTTTTTCAGGATGTTTGTATTTTCTGACTGTTCTTATTTGTCTAAGAACTCTCACATCTTTGATCACAATTTGAAAAATGCTGTGGATTTTGAACTGAAGATGTTTGAAGTCACATTTTTCGTATTTGGGGTTTTAGCCCACCTAAAGCTGAGAAAATTCCTCCTACTCTGAAGAACAAATAGCAATTCTGAGTAAGACGCTGCCAACATTTGTGGGAATTTGAATGCTAGAAGGAAACACAAGACACAAACACAACTAAATATTGTAGCACCCAAGTGAAAACCAAGATATCTTTCAGCAATTGACCAAATCTAATTTAAATGAAATCAGTGCATGTAATTTTGATCACAATCAGCAGACATGTAGAGACACACTTTTCTTCAAAATTTCCTCTAAATAAATAAAGAGATTATTTGTATTTTTCACAAGCACAACATTCCTAGCAGCTTCCTTCTAGACCATGAAAGCTGCAATAACTTTTATGCTAATTCTGCCAGAAATTGCTTTTTGGAGACAGCTTACCTTGAACAATGACATCATCATCCAAATATATGACTTTCTCGTGTTTCTGGATAAGCAAAGGAAGGTAAAATCGAACGAAGTTCAGCTATTAAACAGGAAAAGAAGAGTAAATCCTAAATGACAAAGAAGTTGAATGCATTAGTCTCAAGCTTCCATTAATATAGGTTGGTTTAGCAATAGGGATCAATATATTAGTTTGAGAACCAATATATTAGTTTAGCAAAAGGAATCAATAAGTGCTATGTTAGTTCTAAAACTTTCCAGTTTAGCTTTGCTTGGTGTATGAACAGCCTTCTTTTTCTCAATGATCCTGCTTCACAGAAGCACTGAAGTCACCACAGACTTCTTTTATCTTTGCAACCATTGGGTGCAAGGGCTTTTTTTCTTGGATTTCACATATATTGTTTTAGCTTATAGCACCCCAAGATAGAAAGTTGCTCGTTATGGCATTACAAGCAATGGAAATCCACCAAACTGGGGAAAAACAGCCAATGGTCAGCCAAAAGTCATTGTGATGAAGATGATGATGGAAAAATGAGGAGGAAGTAGGCGGTCTAAGACCACCAGAGGCTCCTACCAGGCATGCCCAGAAGGACAATAGCATATGTTGATGAGTTCTTGGAAAAGAATGAATATGCAAATATATTGCATATGTATGTTGTAACTGTTTAAATGTAGAACTTTAACTCTGAGAGCACGTGCTTGACTTGTCAAGATGCCCAGTAAGTATCGTGAGGAATAAAGGAATGCCTCTTTATAACACCACACTGGGACTAGAGAATTTTCTTCCTGGATCTCAGATGACACTGTCTCAATTAATATTCTGTTTTGATTTCTCTCATCATTGAGCACTAGCCAACTATCATATGCTTCTTTCATGTAGCTTTACCAGTGTCTTGACCCCATTATTATTAATTATTTATCCCACTTGGTTTACTGTGGGCTTAACCAAGCAGTCCAAAATAGTTTATCTTCCATCAGAATCACAGAACCACTTATGTTGGAATGGAGATCCCTCCCAGACCATTCTCCCCACTCAGGGGCTGACCAGGGCAAACTGCATGGGATTGTGTCCAGTGGGTTCTGAATATCTCCACAGATGGAAACGTCACGCCCTGCTCTGTGTGTTTGACCACCTAAAAATGATTTACCTTGCATTGAGATTTAATGTTACAGTTTTAACTTCTGCCCATTGCCTTTTCCCCTACCAGCAGGCACTACTGAGATGAGTCTGGCTCTCTTGTCTTCATCCATCCCATCAGGTATTTAATAAACACATTGATCAGATCCTTTGGAGCACTCTCTTCTGCAGGCCAAATGGTCCCAGCTCTATTTGCCTCTCTTCATGTATAGACGTTCCAGTCCCTTATCACCTTTGTGGCCCTCTATTGAATTCACTTCAATAAATCCATAAATTTCTGGTACTGGGAAGCTATGAACAGGACAACAGTATCCCAAATGCAATCTCACCAGTGCTGAGTAAAGAGGGATGATAACTTCTCTGGACCTGGAATGCGTTAGCTTCACAGTTAACATAGCCATCTTTTCACTCTACAGAAATGGTTTGACTAATAGCACAGATGAGGGATAGCATTTTCTACAACTGAAATAATGAATACAAAGAGGGAAAAGGCATCACCATCAACCATACTGATTCAGGTCATTTCACTTGTCAGAGTGGTCTTAAGCAGAGATGATCAGACAAATGTAAGAATACAGCAAGTACACAGAAAAGCTGTTCCACAGCTTCCATGTATTTTCAGCTCAAGAAATTTCCTGAACCAGATGTAGTCCACTTCAGCCTCCACTGAATCCCTGTGAATTTATTATGTTCACAAGATATTTTAGCAACAAGTTCTAGAGGTTTAGTACTCACTGCTTGAAAAGCATGCAACATTTCTTCTTTGATCTGACTGTTCCTCTCACTAAAGTATTTGAATAGCTGTTAGTTCTTATATGAGAAGAGACAGTAAGTTATCATCCCCTATTCTGACCTCCATGCCAATCAGTTCTGTGGATCTCTACTGTTTTCATGCCAAAAGGCCATTTCCAGGCTAAAGAATACTAAATCACTCTCACAAATATTGCATGAAATTCTTTCCATACATTAGAAATGCCACAGGCTCAGAGAAGGGCAAAAGAACACTCTGAACAGTCCTAAAACTTTTCCAGTGGTTCTATGTCCTTTTGAGATAAGAGGGTTTAATACGCACAGAGTATTTAGGGTGGTGGGAAAACTATGTATTTACATTTTGGCATAATGTTCTTCTCTGTTTTGTTTCTAACTCCTTTACTAATAATTCCTTACATCTGATTTGCCCCTTGTCAGCCAGCAGTATTTTAGTTTCTAGTCTCTGAGTTAATCCCAGACATGAGCAGATTGCAGCCCGCTAGATATCATGGAGGCACAAAGAACACTGTGACACCTTTCCTCTTCTAAACAACACATGCAAATCACTGAGTTTGTGCCACAGAATAGATGACGTCCCAGCATGACAGAAGAGTTGCAAGGAGCTTGTTACAGTGCACATCTCCTTCTTGAGTGAAAGCTTAGCATTGGACTTGAAGGGGCTTCTTTGAGTTATACCCATCCCGTGTAACAGAACAGAGAACTGGGAGATCTTAAAATCTGCAATGAGCATTAAAATCCTGAAAATGTGTTATGTGGTGTTTGTCTACTCACAGGCTGCAGTAGCTCAGGACGCGATGCATCTTGTCTGATTTTTCCTTTCAGTACCATGGGGTTGAATTCCACAGTCTTAAATTTTATTTCTTTTAGTTTAGAATTTTCAATCCATTTTCTATGATTAAAAATAAAAGTGTTAAAATAAATATTCAGCTTTTAGCAAATATTTTCTCAGACTCATAAGAGAATAAGAGGCCTTGGAAGCTCACTTAGTCTATCAGACCCCAAGACAGAACCACTTGTGTCTGCAGCAACACATCTTTCTTCACCACTAGCATTAAATGTCATTTTCCTAGTCTTTCTTACTATAAACCATTTTTTTTCTTATCCTATGTGCTGTGCAGATAATTAAGAATTAAGAATAAACCTATTAAAGAATAGGTTACTTTTTTCCCTTTTGCCCCACTTTATGTTCTTCAAAATGATCATCATATGTATTCACAGTTTAGCAGAGGAAAAAACTGTTTTTGTCCAATATTTTGTCGTATTTCTTATCATCAAAAAATGTCTTCACATTTCCAGAGGCCATATACATCCACAAGCATATCTCACTATGAAGTGTATGTGTGTGTGTATGCATGTCCACACACAATAGTGCGGTCCATTATCAGTCATAGCTCTGTAGTTTTCAATATGAGCGTATCAAAGAATATAGGAACACCAAGTACTTAATAAAAGAGCATTGAGACAGCATCTATCTCTCTGTGCCCTTGCTCTCTCACTATGCTTATAGTAAAGTTTCTTTCTGACCTATCATAAATTACTCTCATGTTACTATGCACCTGGAGTTCCCATATTCTCTGGCAAGTGTTATCAAATAGAATCTATGATTCCATTCAGGCTGGATATTAGGAAACATTGATTCTCAGAAAGAACAGCACTGTGCAGTGGCACAGGATGCTGAGGGAGGTGGTGCAGTCACCATCCCTGGAGGTGTTCCAGAGCCGTGTGGATGTGGCACTGAGGGACAAGGTCAGCGGGCATGGTGGGGATGGGCTGATGGTTGGACTGGGTGATCTTCAAGGTCTTTTCCAACCTTCATGATTTCGTGATTCTATAAAACTTCTGCTTCAACCTGAGCTAACACAGTCAGTTATTTCCACCTCTACTGAACTTCATCACATTTTACAGCTCATTTTTCCAACTCATCAACACTTTGTTTTCAGCTCACCATGCTGCTCGATGTCTCTTCCAGCTTCGTGCCAACTGCAGATACAGAGAGAACATTCCCCATTCTATTTTCTAGATTATTGATGAATTGGATTGGGAAAACTCATCACATCTTTTCACTTTGACACATTTTGTACACAAGCTACAGAAGCAGCCAGAGGCAAGAACTTCTAAAACAATCAGCTTTAATTTTGATTTACACCGCACCTCCGTTTGTAGGGAACATTTGAACTTAACATCCAAACATTCATTACTAGCTTCTTTGGGCCTCTATTTCAAAACTTTAACACTACATCTTACCCGAAATTAGCTTTAGGCAGCAGGCTTTGCTACTCTGAAGCTGAAGATAAGACTCCACACGAGGTGAGCTCAGTGCCACAAAGAAGGCTTGGAACAAGTAAGCTTGTCACTTACCTTATTATATATTCTTCTGCAGATACAAAAGGCAGAAAGGCACAGCTACGGACTTGATCTGGTTATTTCATACCCCTTTAAACTAGTCAATGCCTCGAGTGGGGCAAAATGATCATTTTTCCTAAATGTAGGGAATCCTGGGGACTGAAACCAATAGCACTACTTAAGCAAAAGGAAGAAGCAATTTCCTGAAAAGTCTTCTAAACTTTATGCCCATGCTAAGGAAAACAACAATCTGCTCCTAATTACAGCATGAAATAAAACAAGGCTGGTTTATACCGAATATGTGGGATGGTGTTCTTCAGTCCAACTATGTAGAACAAAACATTAGCCTCTGTGTTGCTGTAGATGCTACTGATTGCTGCTACAGTTGCACCCATTCTGCCTGCAGCAGCGCAGATTACAACTGGGATTTCTTCCTCCATTTCCTTAGGACTCTCCAGGTCATCTACAAGAAACAAACCATATTTTATATCAGAAAATTGAGAAACTTTTGTATCCTATCTGGATGATATGAGTGAGCACAAAGTTCTACAAACAGCGGAATCATATCACAATCACCCCATTTCCTTACCAGATCTTATATACATCCACATTTGCCAAGACACACAGCATGAGCTGTCACTAATCCAGAACCACATGTAGGTGGACAGGACTGTTGGATGTCTCCAAACAGAACTCTGTACTTTCTGCCCAACAGGCTGTCCTCCATGTAACTGCTTATTCACATGAAACCTGAAGTCTGAATGCCTTTGAGACTTCTCAGTTATATTTAGAACAAATTGAATGATGGATTCCAAAATTATCAAAGGAAGGAGGTAAGTGGAAGAGCTGGTGCAAATGCATGAGCTTCACTTCTTTGGGAAGCTAGAAAGGAATAGTGAAAAGTTCTGCACCACAAGGAAGTTGCTAACGATAAAATGGGGGAAAATAGTGTTCAGTGTAAACGAAGATATACACCAGCTTACAACTTCATCAGTGACATCTGTATAAAAACTTGAAGCAGGATGACAATTTTTAGTCACTCTCCTGCTAGTTTCTTTGAGGAATTCAGAACCAAAAAACTTCTGCATCTCAGACCACATGCAACAGCTTAAATGGCTCATCTACTGCAAGGCAAACTGGTTTAATTAGGGGAAAACAAACAAACAAACAAAAGCCCAACTGCTCAAATGAAGAGGAAAGAACTATAAATCAGAAACATAAGTCATTTACCTGCTTCATTCCTTAAGGCAGATGGTGCTTTGTGAACTTTGTTGTACAGGATTGCACACACGGTTAATATAAGAAGTAACAGTAAGATCTGGTTAACTGAAACAAAATAGAGAATTTGTTAATGATCACTCTCATAGCTAGAGTACTAATTGTACCTTTTTAGAAAAAAAGACAATTTGCAACCATTACATAGCATAATGTGTATTTGCTGTGTTTGCCAAAATCTCCTTTCTCTTGCTATTTGATCAAACTACAAATGCTGTGTTAATAGCATAATGCATTTCTACCTCTTTCCATTTATTTCCAACCATCTGATTTTCGTTCATTAGTTGCTCAATAAATCACTGAGCTCCCAATACACATGGGTTATAAAAACTATTAAATTCATGTTTCTGAATACTAGAAGCCTGGAACTTTCTTTCATTAGCTACACCATGGGACTTCAAGAACGAATTATTTTTACCTACATTTTCCTTCACTCACACCTCCTTCAGACACAAGAAAAAATAACTGAATGCAAATCTTGAAGGTATACCCAAGCAAAATTCTAACAGTACTAGAAAAATAAACCCAGCACACCTCTGAAACCAGGTAGGGTTTATTGCAAAATATTTGAAAACTAATTAAAGTGTCAAAACATAAAAATGTTGACACTTTAATTAGTAAAACCAAATCCAACCATGCTAAAGCAAGTGCCTTGCTGTATATTACGACTTCACAGTTCCTGTCAGTTTGTGTTGTACTACATTAATTCATCCAACATAAGCCAACTGTGAGTACATAACAGCTCAGTGGTATAATGGGGAAGAAATACTCAATAGAGTTCTTTAGATCTTCTTCACCACTTCTGTACCATCATAAAGGTGATGGTAAATATTTAAGGTGTACAAAAGAACAAAGGAAACAAAGTTTTAGTCTCTTTGAGTCAGAAGGGTTATTGACCAGAACTGAGCATACAAATAAGTTGAAATTGGTTCAACATCACCAACTGCACTGACTGATGTCAGCTGAGAAAACACCCACTGGCTTCAATGAAATTTTGGGTCAATTTTCAGTCATTGATCTTGACAGCTGATGAGAACTCAAATTTCTCAGGACTGCATTTCAACAGCAAGTATGAAGAGCATAGCTGTACATAGCTCTGTTAAAAAGCCATTCTGGGTGCTCTGTGCACACCCACATGGAGCTACTCATTACCTGCCCCCTTAGAGGGAAAGCCCAGTTCGTAAGTATCACACAGAAAAGTGGTGAGTGATCTCTGGTTAGTGGAATTTATGACCACACTTATCTGATGTAGTTTACAAGAAAAATCCTATTTTGATAATAAAGTTTAAGTATAATTTAGCAAAATTAGAATTTGCATGCAGCTGTTATAGCAGTTTTGAGAAACTGCATTTGATATCACTGCCCTCTTTTAAAAATACGTATTTTTAAAATGCTTTTAATCTCTCTTACTTTTCTTTAAAAGAGCCATGTGTTCTGTTGGATAAGAACTGTGGTCTGCAGTAAAAAAAAAAAAAAAGAGAGAGAGAGAGAGAAAAATTGAAATGCATTGTGTTTTAATACATTCAGTCACCTACAACCCAGTCACCTACATCAGTAACAAGTAACATCTTTAACACATCTTAAAATAATTTACAAAATGGTGTCAAAACACCATCAGGTGAAATTTGTAAATACATCTCTTTCCAATCTCAAATAAAACACAACAGTAATCACAAATACTAACCTCTTGCCAGAATATACTTCCCAAACTAGGAATTGTCCTGCCAGCAACAGTAAAAGGGGAACTTGTGCAAAGTGGCTTGTATGTAGGCCGCTCTGAAAGAAGTGCCTCCTATGATCACTCCTCCTAGTGCTCCTTGATGATCAGAGGGCTGGAGCACCTCTCCTATGAGGAAAGGTTGAGGGAACTGGGCTTGTTTAGCTTGGAGAAGAGAAGGCTCTGGGGAGACCTCATTGTGGCCTTCCAGTGCTTGAAGAAGGCTTATAAACAGAAGAGGGAACGGCTGTTTACATGAGTTGATAGTGATGGGACAAGGGGGAATGGTTTTAACCTGAGACAGGGGAGGCTTAGGTTAGGTATTAGGAGGAAGTTTTTCACTCAGAGGGTGGTGACGCACTGGAACAGGTTGCCCAAGGAGGCTGTGGATGCCCCATTCCTGGAGGCATTCAAGGCCAGGCTGGATGTGGCTCTGGACAGCCTGGTCTGGTGGTTGGCGACCCTGCACATAGCAGAGGGGTTGAAACTAGGTGATCATTGTGGTCCTTTTCAACCTAGGCCATTCTATGATTCTATGATTCTATTCATTTTCTTGGAAGCTACAACAACTACAAAGAGCACAGTAGCACTGATCTTTGCTACAAAAGGCTGTTTTTCAACACAGTCATCACCATTAGCTATGCCTTTTTGCCACTGATGAGCAAGAGCCTTCATTTTGTGCTCACAAAAGTTTGCATCTGCAGAGGTGACTGTCACTGTTCCCACTGCTGAAACACATCACCATCACCTCATTTTGCTCACATACACCATTTGGTCCCCATAAATGTTCAGCAAATGTGAATGAATGCCAATGGGTGCCACTTCTCTGCATGGAGGAATTTTGCTTCATACACACTTCCGTGTCAAACACTACTTTGTCAGACTGCCCTTTTGCTGCCATCTGTCACATGGCAACAACATGTAATGGGACATTGGTGGGAAGGTTCAGCCTCTCCTGCCAAACCACCAACAGCCGCCTCTGATGTTGCAGGCCAACATCATAAAATAGGAGGCATTACTTTCAGATTTATGTACTGTATTTGTGATGCTTGAGAAAGTGAAGTAGGCTTCCCTAAAACTGCTCTTCTAAACAAGGCCTAAGAGTGACCGTGTCTTTATGCTGAAGAGGAAAGAACGTAACCCCTAAAATACAGAACTGTGTAACAGATAACATTTGTTTGAATTCTGCAAGCACTGGTATTGTTTACTACCACTGTTTTTGTGAAAAAACAACAGTAAGAAATCAGCATCAGAAGTTGGGGCAGGAGGAAAGGAAGAAATAACCATGTGATTCCACCACTACAGCAGCTATCTGCGCAACTGAAAGCCATTTTTCCCAATTACAGACACACAGATCCACTAGAGCCTAGACAAGGATATATAACTGTTTCTGTGCACATATAAAAATGAAGTTCATTCTGATTCCTTAAAAAGGAATATGGAACGGCAAAAATTCTTGAAACTTAAGTCACCAAAATGAATCTCTCCCATTGGTTAATACTAATAGTGAGGGAGCATAATGAATTAGACTCCACTTTTTGATTTGCAAGTACAATTGTAATAAAAATATACATAAAGCAATGATGAGGCTTTGTTTACAAGGCACTATATATTTGCATATATTTAGATCCTTACAGCTGACTAGATTGGAGAGAGAGGAATATTTCTAAGAGAAATTCTTTCACATCTGCAGCCCTTGCCTGCATTCCAGCAGCCCACTCCTTTCATGTGGCATTCATTTACATAGATATGAAAACAAACTTATCAGTCACAAAAGCCTGCTGTTTAGACGTACCCTCTCTCGCACGTTACACAAGTATTGCAGCATTAGCCATTACAGATTTTACTCATTTAGATGAGGACAGAGGCAACAAAAACCGCTCCACTCTTGAAGTAACATTCTCACCTCATTCAAGCTAACAGCAATTTTCTACTGACTTCAATGGAGCTGACTACTGCTTTTAATTAAATTATAATGAGAGTCACAAATAATACTGATGATCGCCACAAAATGAAAGTTGAATAGTCACAGCCTCAGGATGTCTTCTGCATGATAAAAACAACATAAATTGAACTATGTTTTACATTTTAAAATCCAAAGTCCAAAAGAATCAAACAAAATAAGTCTGCATTTCAAACTTACACAGTTCCTAAAGTTTCAGCAACTCAGACTGATCGCCCACTGGTTTCTAGAAAAAGAGAGGAATATTTGTTCCCCTTCAAATATTTATTCATTTTTCTCGAATTTAGACATTAGTTCCTAGAACCTGGCAGTCCATAACTCAGCTGCCAAAATCTGTAACAAAACGAGGGGCTGTAGAAGGGAAAGCTCAGAAACAGTGACATTACTGCTCGGACATTTCCTGCATAATTAGTCTTTTTACCTCTTCAAAGCAGCACAGTAATCGGGACTCCTTTCTCCTGAAGAGCTGTAGAGCTTTTTACTTGGATCCTAGATAGCCCACAGCTGTCAGCATTCTTGCCAAAGCTTCCTTGCCCATCGTCTTCCTTTAAAGTCCCCTGTACAAGGGCCTTACAGGGCACAGAAACAGTTTTAAGATTCAATTCCTTTTTCAAACTCTTCAAAGTTTACTTTGGAGTTGTGCTGGTTTTCTTTTCTCTCCCTGCTGCTGAGGAATAGCACAGAGTCCAGACGCGGCACCAAAGGAATGAGAGCCCATAAACCACTTCCAGATGTGCTGAACGATGATGCAGCCCCAGATCTGGCAAACTTGCCTTAGAGCTTCATCTAGCAGATTGCAAATAAATCCCACAAGACAAAAAGTCTTAAGGGGGTGGAGGAAAGAAGGAAATAAACTGTTCCAGAAGTTACTTAAAATGTCTAGTTGCAGGTTAGGTTTCTAGTCATTATTTATGGTAAATGTGAACAGATAACTAGTGTGCAAGAGCCAAACAACAGCGTGCCAAAGTCAAAATGAAAGCCAACATTTTTCCAGTGTCTGTTGGCACAGTTATTGCAAGCATGAAACTAAGTAAATTTGCAAACTTCAACTCTGAACATGCATGCTGACTTAAATTGCCTCTGCCCCAAATCTCTGAGAAATTAGAGAATCTAAACCCAAGGGTTTGGAACGGAGTCAAAGGGGCTTGAGATTAAGGAACCTCACAGATGTTGGTACTCAGTTTCCTAAGCTCTCCTGGAATGCTCTCACAATTTTAGTTCTTTATCAGTTTTTTTACTCAAATTCTCTCCCTCTTGTCTAGGAACCTTCCTTTTGTATGTTTTGCAATGATAAAAACAACACAAATTAAACTGTGTTTTACAATTATATGTATGTTTTAACACAAGACTTCCATCACTGGTGAAAGGAGTAATAATAGATCTTAAACTATTTTTCACGTGTACTTACAAAAAAGTACAACAGCTGCTCCGAAACTAATATCTCCTATTTTATGATGTTGGCCTGCAATGTCAGAGGTGGATGTTGGAGGTAGAGCAGTAGAGGCTGAACCTTCCCACCAATATTCCACTATGTTTTGTTACTATGTGACAGACAGCAGCAAAGAGGCAGTCTGACAAATTGGTGTCTGATGTGGAGGTGAATGTGAAGGGATGGAACTGAAATGCACCGTGTGGAAAAAATGGCACCCGTTGAAATTCAGTGCTTGCAGAATGTTTATGGATACCAAACAGTGGATATGAGCAAAGTCAGGCAGTGGGTGGTATGTTTCAACAGTGGTGATGGTGACAGTTAGTCACATCAGCCGGGGCAGATTTTTGTGTGTGTGGCATGCAGGTTCTTGTTCAATTGCAAGAGAAAATGCATAGCCAGTAATGGTGACTGTGTTTAAAAGCAGTCTTTGGTGGCTGACAATATGCTCCATTAAACAGTGTTATATTGATCCTCATCTCTGTTGCAGTTTCCAAGGAAATAAATAGGAGTCATTACTTCCAGAGCAACCCACATATTTAATTTAAAATGCAGGTTTATAGTTTTAGAAGTTTGACAATGATTGTTATTCTATTCCAACAAACTGAAAAAGCTGTCATCTAGCGATATGTGTCAAAAATGCCAGCAGGAAAGGAGCAAAGGACTGGGGTGTCCTGGTGGGAAACAGGTTGGCTGTGAGCCAGCAGCATGCCTAATGGCCCAGAAAGCCACTGGCATCACAGAGTGCATTACAAAGAGCCTACTGCAGGGAGCCTGCTTCAGCAGGGGCTGGACAACATGATCTCCAGGTAATCTTCCAATACATACAACTCTGTGATTCAGTGTAATGTTTAATAAATTAATTTATTTTTAACTAAAGAGAAGTGTAGAGGCCTGCTACTGAGGCCGAGGGGGTGGCCTCTTGCAGGGCGGCTGTGGGTCCTGGTCACTGTCAGCCTTCCTCTTAGGGGGCCGCCGGGCCCTCTCAGGTGAGTGGCCAGGAGCAGAGGGGCTGCTGCTCCGGGCAGAGGGACCTGCTGCCGTTTCCTGCTCCATCTCTTCGTGGGGCTCCTCCGCTTCCCTCGTCAAGTGTGCAGCGGGGACGTGACCGGGAGACACAGGAACGTCAGCCACTGCAGTGCGGGTCTCCTCCTCCATGCTGGGACATTCAGTGCTGACTCTGGGCCCCGAAGTGAGGTCCAGTTCTGGGGAGGCTGTGGGGCTGTCCTCCTGCCCCCTGGCTGCAGGGCCCTCCTCCCGCCCCTCAGGCACGTGGGCGTCCTGCAGACCCAGCAGTCTGTGCGCCTCCTCGCCGCAGTGGCGCACAATGTTGTCGAGGAGCTCCTGGACGAACGTCTCCGCTCTGTTCCCCAGGGCGGCCCCCGTCATCTCTGTCAGCCACTCTCTGTCCGGCCCGATTTCACACAGGCCGTGCAGCAGGTAGGCTTCCGCTGCCATTGCCGGCCACCAGTGTGTGGGAAAGGCGGCTCGCAGCTGTTGGCGCAGCCAGGGCAGCACAGGGTCCAGGATGTGCTGGTGTTGCCTGAACACATCTGCCCAGATGTCAGGAGGCAGACGGCCCACTGTAGGCACCTCCTCTGCCTCCGCCTCTGCCTCCTCATCCTCTGTCTCCTCGTCATCTGCGTCCTCATCCTCCTCCTCATCCGACCATGGTGAAGGGGGTGGCGAAGAGGATAGCGAGGAGCTTGAGCTGCTGAAACTGGCAGCTACAGCTTCCTGGAAGCAGGCAGGGACAGGTGTTGCTGGAGGCCAGATGACGAAGTCCAGGTCCTCGTCATCATCCAGCGCTGCCACCTTGACCACTTCCATGACCCTCCTGCAGAGAGGGCAGCTCTCGTGCTGCTTGCCCCACCGCAGGATGCAGCCGAGGCAGAACTCGTGACGGCACGGCATCGCGTAGGCAATGTCCTTGCGCTCATCACGGCAGATGGGACATACCCATTCCTCCTCTGCTGCCATGCTCCTCACTCTGTGGTTTGCTGGGGAGCAAAGATGAAGAGCTGCTCCTCTTCTGCAGCACCACAGGGGGAAATGTTGCGCACTGCAAAGACAGAGGCCGCGGTCAGTCAGTGTCCCAGGAACAGAGGACAGAAACACCCAGGTCCCTCGGCAGGACACCCTCTCGGCCCTACTGGGGCCCACCCATGCTCCATGCCCTCCCGGGGCCCTCAGGCTGTGGCCCTGGCCCTGGCAGCTCCCCATATCTCAGCACTCGCTCCATTGCCACCCTGGGGGACGTGTCCCCACCCAGCTCACCTCTGCTGCTGCGCGTGCACCCCGTGGGGCCCCGGTAGCCTGAGCCAGGCAGACCAGGGAAACGCAAGTGATGGCTGTCAGGATGGGCACCGAAAGCCACTGCCAGCAGTGCCCAAAGCACAGCCCAGCACTCAAGACAAATGCTCGCTCCACCTCCAAGCCTCGCAACCACACGCTCAGCAGGAGTCCAGGCACGAGAATGACTGGGCCAGGCTCTGCCTGCGCCCAAAGCTGAGCAGACGGTGCTGAGGTCACAGTGCCTCGCACAGTGACGTCACGGCCTGTTGCTCGGCGACGTCACCGCAGTCCTTCTGCCCCCCACAGCACTTGCCCCAGCAGCACTTTGCATCCCTGTGTCTGCACGTGCATTTGGGGTGACCCCAGTGCCTCTTCCAGCCACTGCACTGCCACTCCCTCCCCTCCTCTTTCCCCTTCTCTTTGCCAGCAGTTTAGTGCCGTGGGCTGTGCCTTGCCAGAGGCCCAACTGATGCCCTTGTCCCTCCCTTCGTGGCATCCAAAATATCAATCAAGGTTGTCTAAAAGTAGTTCCCAGAGTTTCAGAGAACGCCAGACGTTGCTTCCCCTTTTTTTTTGTTTGGCTTTCCATTTTGAATATGCCAGCGAGATCCATTGCTTCTAAGATCTGCTTTTCCTTGCTCTTCTTGCTAGAGGAGAGTGTTCATTGCTGACGTACTCAACACTCTCCTCAGCAACCTCGTCCCATTTAAATGCTCTGTGATCCTTAAGGACAAAATAAATTGTATAGACATGATGCTTTGGTGGTGATAGATTGACGGGGGGAAGAAAGCAGCACTGTGCACATGGCAGCCCCAGCTCTCAAGCAAAAAGCAAGAAAGACACTGTGGAAGAGTAAGGCTGGAGAGTGGGGAGTGGGTGGGGAGGAACCCGATGAGGTTCAACAAAAGCAAGTGCGGAGACCCGCACCTGGGGAGGAATAACCACAAACGCTGGTGAAGGTGAGGGGCTGAGGCGCTGGAAGGGAACTCTGCGGAGAAGGACCTGAGTGTCCTGGTGGGCAACGGGTGGGCCGTGATCCAGCAAGGTGCCCCTGTGGCCCAGAGGACCAACGGCATTGCAAAGAGCGTGGCCAGCAGGTCGAGGGAGGTGAGCCTCCCCCTCTGCTCTACCGTGCTGAGGCCACATCAGGATTAATGTGCCCACTCCTGTGCTCCTCAGTTCAAGAAAGACAGGGAACTTCTAGAGAGAGCCCAGTGGAGGGCCACCAAGACGATGAGGGGCCTGGAGCACCTCCTGCATGCGGAAAGGCTGAGAGCCCCGCGACAGTTCAGCCTGGAGAGGTGAAGACTGAGAGAGGATCTTACTGGTGTTTATAAATGTCCCATTGGTGGGAGTCAAGTGGATGGGGCCAGGCTCTTCCGAATAGTGCTCGGTGACAGGACAAGGGGCAGTGGGCACAAATCAAAACGTAAGAAGTTCCATATGAACACAAGGAATAACCTCTTTGCTTTGAATGTGACAAGCACTGGAAAAAGCTGCCTGAGGTTCCTGTGGAGTCTCCCTCTCCGGAAACTCACCCACCCAGATGCTTTCCCATGGAACCTAGTGCAGGGAACCCACTTTAGCAGGGAATTGGACTAGATGATCCCCAGAGATGCCTTCTAACCCATACAACTCTCTGACTCTGTCATTCTGAGTAATCTTTTTTTATTATGATTTTTTAAATAAATAGAAGCGTAAGCCCTGCTACTGAGGCCGAGGGGGTGGCCTCTTGCAGGGCGGCTGTGGGTCCTGGTCACTGTCCGCCTTCCTCTTAGGGGGCCGCCGGGCCCTCTCAGGTGAGTGGCCAGGAGCAGAGGGGCTGCTGCTCCGGGCAGAGGGACCTGCTGCTGTTGTCTGCTCCATCTCTTCATGGGGCTCCTCCGCTTCCCTCTCCAAGTGTGCAGCATCAGCCTCTGCTGTCCTGGACTGCTCTTCTCTGCTAAGAGTTATACTGCTGCCGGTGAGTCCAAGCTGTGACATGAGGGTCACTTGTGAGGAGGCTGCAGGGCCAGGGGCAGCCACAGGGCTGTCCTGCTCTCTTTCAGCAGAGCCCTCCTCCTGCCCTCCTGACACAAGGGTGCCCTGCAGACCCAGCAGTCTGTGCGCCTCCTCGCTGCACAGGCGCACAATGGTGTCAACAAGCTCCCAGATGAATGTCTCTGTTCTGTCCTCCAGGGCAGGCCGCATCAGCTCCACCAATTCCTCACCGTGCAGCCCGATGTCACACAGGGCATTCAGGACTAAGCCCTCTGTTGCCATTGCTGGCCACCAGTGTGTGTCAAAGATGGCTCGCAGCTCTTGGCGTAACCATGGCAGCACAGGCTCCAAGATCTGCTGGTGCTGCCTGAACAGTTCTGCCCAGGCCTGAGGCCGAAGACCACCTACTATAAAGTCCTCCTCTACCTCCTCATTGTCCTGATCTTCTGCCTCCTCATCCCTTGCTTCCTCTGCCTCTCCATCGACCTCCTCATCTGACAACAGCAAAGGTGATGGTGAAGGGGACAGCAAAGGACTAGATCTGCCGTAAATGGGAGCTATGGCTTCCCGGAAGCAGACAGGTACAGGTGTTGCTGGAGGCCAGATGACGAAGTCCAGGTCCTCATCATCATCCAACGCTGCCACCTTGACCACTTCCATGACCCTCCTGCAGAGAGGGCAGCTATCCTGCTGCTTGCCCCACCGCAGGATGCAGCCGAGGCAGAACTCGTGACGGCACGGCATCGCGTAGGCAATGTCCTTGCGCTCATCACGGCAGATGGGACATACCCATTCCTCCTCTGCTGCCATGCTCCTCACTCTGTGGCTGGCAGGGGAGCGAAGATGAAGAGCTCCTCTCCAGTAGTGCCACAGGTGTGAATGTTGCACACTGCAAGAGGGAGAGAGAGCACAGTCAGTCACTGTCCCAGGGACAGAGGGAAGAAACACACAGGTTCCTCAGTGGGACACTCTCCCAGCCCCACATCTGGGCTGCTGCATGCTCCACACAAACCCACAGAGGTCCCTCAGGATGCAGCCCTGGCTCTGCCAACTCCCTGTGTCCCAGTGCTCACCCCATTGCCACCCTGAAGGATATGTCCCCACTCAGCTCACCTCTGCTACTGTGTGTGCACCCTGTGAGGCCCTGGCTCTCTGAGCCAGGCAGACCCGGGAAATGCAAGTGATGGCTGTAAGGATGGGCACCGAAAGCCACTGCCAGCAGTGCCCAAAGCACAGCCCAGCACCCAAGACAAATGCTCGCTCCACCTCCAAGCCTCGCAACCACACGCTCGGCAGGAGTCCAGGCACGAGAATGACTGGGCCAGGCTCTGCCTGCACCCAAAGCTGAGCAGATGGTGCTGAGGTCACAGTGCAACTGTTGGTGACATCACGGCCTCAATGCTCAATGATGTCATCGCAGTTCTTCAGCCCCCGCTGCAGCACTTTGCTTTCGTGTGTCTGCATCTGGCGCTACCACTGTGCATGTCCAGCTACTGCCCTCCCCTCCCATTTCCCCTTCTCCTGGTGTTGCTGTTTCCCGACAGCTCCAAGCTCTGGGCTGTGCCTTCACAGAGTCCCATCAGGTGTCCTTGTCCTTCTGTTTTTTGTATCCAAAATACCAACTGATCTTGTCTTAAACCAGTTTCCAAAGTTTGAGAGAACACCAGGCATTTCTCCTCCTCCCTCCCTTTTTTTTTTTTTTTTTTTTTAAAATCTTTTTGCATCTTAAGCATGCAAGATCCTGCAGGATCCCTGCAAGATCCACAGCTTCTAAAATCTGCTTCTTTCCCTTGTTCTTGTAGAGGAGAGCATTCGTTAATGTACTCAGTGCCTCTCCTCTGCAACCTCATCCCATTTGAGTGCTCTGTGATCCTCATGGACAAAATAAATGGTATAAACATGATGTTTTGGTGATGATTGATTGGTGGTGGGAAGAATATGACACTGGGGACATGACAGCCCTGGCCCAGTTTTGAGAACCAAGACTTTGTGGAAGAGTAAGGCTGGAGAGCTGGGCAGAGAGGAACCTGATGACGTTCACCCAGGACCAATGCTAAATCCTACATCTGGGGAGGAATAACTACTGGGGAATACTGGAGAGTACAGGAGAGGGGCTGACCTGCTGGAAAGGAGCTCTGTAGAGAAGGACCTGGGTGTCCTGGTGGACAACAGGTTGGCCATGAGCCAGCAGTGTGCCCTCGTGGCCCAGAAGGTCAATGGCATCCTGGGGTGCATTGCAAGGCGCATAGCCAGCAGGTCCAGGGATGTGATCCTCTTGATCTCCTCTGCAATGATGAGGCTACATCTGGAGTGCTGTGTCCAGGTCTGGGCTCTCTGGTTCAGGGACAGGGAACTTCCAGAGAGAGCCCAGTAGAAGGACACTCAGATAGTAAGGGGCCTGGAGCTTCTCCCTTATGAGGACAGGCTGAGAGCCCTGAGACTGTTCAGCCTGGAGAAGGCTGAGGGGGGATTTTATCGATATTTATAAATATCTCATGGGCTGAAGTCAAGTGGACAGGGCAACAGGCACACACTGAAACACATGAAGTCGGCGGCCTATCGCTCAGCACACTCAGCCATGGCCAACTTAACAACAATCCTGTGACACATTTCCGAGGGACGTCTCCTCCCCGCCTCTCCCCTCAGGGCCGTAGGGTGCCCGCCCCGCCGCCATCACGTGACCCGCAGCGGCCGCCCCGCCGCCTCCCGCGGGCGCGGCGCTGCCCCTTCCTCCCTCCTTCCCCGCGGCCTGTCCTGGCCGCGCGGTGCATTGTGGGAGCGGCGGTAAGATGGCGGCGGCCGCCGCTGGGCTGAGCTGGAGGCGGGTGTCTTCCTTCACGGGGCCGGTGCCGCGCTCCCGTCACGGGCACCGCGCGGTCGCCATCCGCGAGCTGGTCATCATCTTCGGAGGCGGCAACGAGGGCATCGCCGACGAACTGCATGTCTACAACACGGGTGCGCGGGGCGGGGCGGAGCGGCGGGCGCGGTCCCGCCGCGGGCGGGGGTGGGGAGCGCGGGGCGGCGGGGAGCCGAGCGGCGCGGCGCCGTCACGTCCCTGCAGGGTTCGGGCGCTGGACTCGGGCCCGCTGCCCGGCCGGGGGTGGCGCCCTAACACCGCCCGCAGCCTCCCGCCCTGCCCTGAGGCCGCTGAGTGGAAAAGCGTCGCCCGTCTCGGGCAGGGCTCCGGGCGTCTCGCCGCGCCGCGTAGCGCCGGGTTCGTTCATAGGGAAGAGAGCTGAACGAGCCGAGACGCACATCTCGCTGAGGAAGGCGAACGTGCTGGCATCGGGAGGTTTTCCAGGCAAGAAGCTGCTTCAGTCTGGTTTGTGTGCGGAAGATGGGATGCCTGAAGAGTTACTCCGCGCCGTGCTGTATAAGGCTGGGAAACTTCCGTGCGATTTCAGTCGTGGGCCTGAAGTGGGGGAGTTGGGTAACTGAGCGGCGCTCCGCAGCTGCTTCTCGTTGGCTGCCGGCAGCGTGTATTGATAACGCGAAGGCTGCAGCATGTGGGCTGTGCTTTCAACTCGCCGACTCTTAGGAATCATTCAGAAACGCCTGCCTTCCCCACATACTCCAAAAAGGAGTTTGTTTTTCCGTGGTGGTGTAAAAATGTACTTGATCACCTTTTCAGGAGGCAAGGGAGGGGTCTCTTAACCATGCTCTTGTGACAGGTAATCAAAATAAAGCTTTTTGGTATGAACATAGGTCGCTCCGAAAGTAATGCCTCCTATTTATTTCCATGGAAACTGCAACAGGTGCAAAGAACACAGTAACGCTATTTGATAGAACAAAATTGCAGCTTCAAAAGACTTTTTTTTTAACACAGTCACCATCATTAGCTGTGCGTTTTTGCCACTGATGACTGAGAGCCTGTATACTGTGCACATAAAAATCTGCACTGGCAGAGGTGACCCAGTGTTTCACAGTATTTCAGCACCCACCACCTCACTGTGCCTCACATCTATTGTTTGGTCTCCGTAAGCATTCAGCAGGTGTCAGTGAATGCCAGTGGGTGTCATTTCTTTGCATGGAGGAATTCAGTGGAGCACCTTTGCTTCGTACACAGGCTACGTTCTGTCAGACTGTCCCTCTGCAGCAGCATGTAATGGGGCTTTGGTGGGAAGGTTCAACCTCTACTGCTGTACTAACAACATCCTTCTCTGACGTTGTGGGCCAGCATCATAAAATAGAAGGCATTACATTTGGAGCAGCTTTTTAATGCCTTTTAGAACAAGGGCTGGGATTGGTGCCTTTTCAGTGAGTCTTAAAATCAAATTTTTGTTTTTCTGCCCAGATTCCGAAGGTGTACACCCCTTTGCCACAGTAGCAGGAAGGGCCATGACTCAGTTGTTGCAGTCCTGAGGCGGGTGTTTGGTTCAGACCAATGATGTTTTTTTGGCTGAGGACTGAGGTGCAGGGCTGTGACCTGGAGTGCTTGAGCTTGGGGTGGCACCCATTGCTTCTGCTGTGGGTGTGATGACTTCCACAGACCTGGCACATGGGAAGGATTGCTTAATCCCCTGCAGCAGTGGTCACTGGAAGCTTTGAAGTTCACACGTTTCTTCTTCTTAGCCATGAAAAAAAGCTTTGGAAAAGGAGAATGCAGTGTTTCCTTTAATTCCTTAGTTCTAACACAGTTTAAACAACAACATGCTACTGTATCAGCCAGTCTCAGTTTTTCTTTCCTGCCTGTGTTTCTCCTCTCCCTTTTCAGTGCCATGCTCAGTAGATACAAATATTGGTCCCAGAGTTGTGTAATTACTTTTTCAATAGGGCTATTAAATCCAGGCACACTGCCACGTTGTTGCAGCTATGATAATTCTGGTACTCTGACTTAGTGTAGTTACCTCTTCTGTGTGGAACAGCACGTGTATTCCTTGTTAACTTCTTTTTTCAGCAAGTCTATTAAATTGCTGCATGACCCTCAGTAAATGTCTTGGCGCCCTGAGATTCATATACTGAGTAACACTGGTTTCATAGAGGTGTTGGGAGATTGTTTGGGCTGTTTTGTTTATTTGTTTTATTTTTCTTTCTTAAGTGTTTTGTTTTAAGGCGTTGTGTTAAGCAGCCCATTCACAATCATCTACTGGAAAAGGTAGTTAACAGTGGAGATGTTTTAAAATATACTTTTTTTTTTTTTTTTCTGTGTT